TAAAGAGAGGAGGGGGAGACGGAGAAGGAAGGGAGAAGAGAAAGATAAGCGGTGTGAGGGAGAAGAACAAAGACGGCTGGCGCAGGAGAAGGAGGCTAGGGAGAGCAGGACAAAGAAAGTAGCGCAAGAGAGAAGGCAGAGAAGGGGGCTGGAAGAGATAAGCAAGTTGAGAAGAGGAGAGAAAAAGAGAGGGTAAGGCAAAGAGGCGAAGGGGGAGAAGAGGAGAAAGAGGAGACGAGGGAGCAGGGGGAGGGATAGCGGATAGAGGCAGTCGCCCCCCCACCTCGCTGACCTCGAGCGAAACCCCGACCTCCCCCCTCTGACCTCCCCCCCTCTCGGCTGCCTCTCGGCTGTCTCTCGGCCGGCGCGCTCACCTCGCTGACCTTGACGAAGAGCGCGTTGTGCGCGGAGGTCTGTGCGATCGTGGCGTGCTCCTACGGAGGCGCCGGCGAGGTGACCGCACCGGCGCACCCGGCGGGGCGGCGGGAAGCAGCCGCGGGCTCTCTCTCTCTCTCTCCCCGCTTCTCTCTCTCCTGCGCTGCAAAGGCGACAGGCATCCGGAGCTCTCCGTAGCCGTGCAGCGCGAGCTCGTCAGAGACGAATGCCGTCTCGGTCACAAACACAACCTCGCGCCCCTCCTCCGACACCGGCCGCGCCCTCCCGATGAGCGCCTCGATGCAGCTCTCGTCCGACTCGACGAAGACGCGCTCCGACGCCTACCGCAGCAGCAGCAGCACCGGGGTGGGCCGCAGCACCGCACCACCCCGCCGCCCCACTCGCCTCGGCCATGGCGCCGGCTTCTGAGCGGTCGCCTCGACGTACACCATCGTCGACTCCGCAATCGCCGCCAGGCCGGTCGCCTCGTGCACGGCGCGCGCCTGTGGAAGGGGGCAGGGGAGCGGGGAGGGGTAGGGGCAGGGGAGCGGGGAGGGGTAGGGGCAGGGGAGCGGGGAGGGGTAGGGGTAGGGGTAGCGGAGGGAGGGGTCGCGGAGATTGCCTTGAGGTGCGCCCGGTCCTTAGTGCTCAGGTCGTCTGATAATATTAGAGAGACTGTCTTGTTGTATGTGCCTTGAGGTGCGCCCGGTCCTTAGTGCTCAGGTCGTCTGATAATATTAGAGAGACTGTCTTGTTGTATGTGCCTTGAGGTGCGCCCGGTCCTTAGTGCTCAGGTCGTCTGATAATATTAGAGAGACTGTCTTGTTGTATGTGCCTTGAGGTGCGCCCGGTCCTTAGTGCTCAGGTCGTCTGATAATATTAGAGAGACTATCTTATTGTATGTGCCTTGAGGTGCGCCCGGTCCTTTGTGCTCAGGTCGTCTGATAATATTAGAGAGACTGTCTTGTTGTATGTGCCTTGAGGTGCGCCCGGTCCTTAGTGCTCAGGCTGTCTGAGGTCGAGTGGCCGAGCGAGGCGAAGTCTGCGAAGTTGCGGTGGAGCAGGACGCGCCTAGGGGTGGCTCCGAGGAGGGGTCCGGGGCTGGCGGAGGGCTGGAGGGGGGAAGGGCTCCAGCTGCACGCGCAGGTTGGCGTAGGTCTGCGAGATCATGCTGAAGCGGCGCTCGGGCGTGGCGCACGCGAAGACCTGCCCGTGGCGCAACAGCTACTGCTTGAGCTACCTTGGTACTGCTTGAGGAGCGCAGGAACAGGCTCGGGCGTGGGGCTGTGGGTAAAGACCTGCAGCCACTCCGACGCGGGGAAGAGCTCGGGCGGCGCCTCGGCCTCCCCGCGAGACGCGGCGCGCAAGTACTCCTGAGGCAGAGCCGGGGGCGGGGGCAAGCGGGGGAGGGGGGCGGGGGGGGGCGGGGTCGCCAGTGAGGGCTTTGGGTTTGGGGTGGTGGGGGGGGAGGGGCACGCGGGGCGCACGAGGAAAGAGGGCGGGTTGGTGTGCGCGTAGTGTGGCAGCGCGGTGGCGGTGCGGGGCGCGGGGTGGCTGCGGGGCCGGCGGCGGGCGGCGCGAAGGCGCTGCTGCGCTCGACCTGCAGCGAGTCGGACAGCGCGGCCGCGTCCCCGCTCCGCGCGCCCTCGCTCAGCGGCACGTCATGCGAACGCGCCGCCGCCGCCGCCTCCTCCTCCTCGGCGGGCGGCGGCGGTGCGGCGGGAGCTGCTGCTGCGGAGGGCGTCGCCTCTGCCGTCCGCGCCGACGCCTCCCTCTCCGCGGTAGACAGCCAGCTCTCCGCCTCTGCTCGCGCGGCTGCCAAGTCTGCGGCGGCCAGGTCGGACCCCGACGGCGCCTCCTCGCCGCCGCCGCCCCCGTCCGCCGCCTCCGCCTCCTGCGCCTTTTTGATCATCGCGCGCAGCTCGAACTCGTCGTACCCGACGTACGCCTCCGTCGACCCCGAGGCATACCCCGACCCTCCTACAGGGCCGACCGGAGATCCGTCACCGCTGTCCGCCCCCTCCCGCAAGCCTCGCAGCCAGAGCCGCCGTCGTAGCCTGCGTCGGCCGCCTCGAGGGCCTCGTCCACGAAGGCCTCCCAGTTGGGCCCGTACTTGCGCTCGAGCAGCTGCGGCAGATACATCTCCACGGAGTCGACCTAAACACGCCCAGACAGCGCCGCGCGTGACAAGAGAGGAGGCCGCCACGCCGCGGCGAGGACGACGCGCCTCCTCCCACGCCAGGTCCTCCGCCGTCCCCTCGGGCTCGACCCAATCCTCCTCGTCGTCCCCAGCGGCCGCAGCGCCTCGCCCTGCCGCCAGCCCGTCTGCCTCTGTCACACGCGGCAGCTCGCCAGCCGCATCTGCACGCGCCGCGCCGGAAGCGACCGCCGCGCCGTCGGCTCCGCTGTCCGCCGCAGCCACGTCGATGGGGCCGCCGTCGAGAGAGGCTGCGTCGTCGTCGGCAAAGCGCACCGACACCTCCCAAGTCGCCGACTCCCAATTATCGTCATCGAGATCGGCGCTGGCGAGGAAGACTGCGGCACGGCGCGGACGCAGCCGGAGCTGCCGGACCGCCGACGGCGACTGCAGCGCTACCGCCTCGATCGCGAGCAGCGCGCAGCAGGGCCACATCCGCGGCTGCAGGCGGAGGCCCGACGGGGCAGCAGCCCGCGTGGGCGAAAATTTCTTTTTTGTACAACAGTGTGTCTTAGGTATATTGCCCTTTTGTGGTGCGGTGCGCGCCAGTCCCGTGCGGGCCAACTTTTTTGCTTCCTGGCAAGTTCGCCCGCGTCGAGACATTTCGGGCCGCAACACAGAGCAGGGAGGCTCGGCCGGTGGCATCGGCGACACCCCAGGTCCAGGCGGGCCGCAAAATGGCCAAGGTCTGCGTCATCTCGCTCGGAAGCGAGTCGGCACCTCACATCGCCGAGTGTGTGCGCCAGGAGCTTGGCGACCGGTCGGCATCGGAGGAGTGGGAGACGTCGAAGGCGCCGGTGCTCGTGGTCGTCGTCGAATGCGAGTCGGATGGCGAGCCCTGCCCCGCTGCGCGCCAGTTTGTGCGCGCCCTCCGCCGATCCGAAAACTTTGCCAACTACTCGCAGTCCATCGGACGGCGGGCGGCGGTACTCGGCCTAGCTTCCTCTGTCTGCGCTAACTCGGCCGCGCAGTTGGGAGACGGCGACAAGTACACTGGTGCGTCCCGCGTCGAGCGGGCTCTCATCGCGGGCGGCTGCACCGCGCTGCTAAAGATGGGAACAATGGAGGCGTGCCCAGCTCCTTCCTCGCAAGCCATCTCCATCTCCCTGCCTCTTCCATCTGCCTCACTGCCTCACTGCCTCTGCTCGCCTGCTCTGCTCGCCTGCCACGGCGGCCTCGTTTCAGGGATCAGCTCGACGCCGCTCCCCTCACCGCCGCTCCTCTCCGACCGCCGACGCAGGTGGAGCTGCAGAGTCCCGAGGAGAGTGCTATTCCGTGGGCCAGAGCCGTCTGCGCGGCGCTGTGACGCTCCGTTTATTATATTGCACGGTGAGCGTCCGTCATCGTTTTGCATATATTGCAATATAAGACCCTGGGGCTCTAGGTGAGTAGGGGATGTCCTGGATATTACTCTCGTCCACATCTTACTATATGTTCCAGGCGAAGGTGGCACCGTCGGCGGTGAGGGCGATGCTGTGGTCGCTTCCCGCCGACACAGCGACGACGCGCCGCCCTTCCAGCGTCTCGACCTTCTTCGGCAGCAGCTGCTGCTGCTCGTCGCCGTGGCCTAGCCGGCCAAAGACTCCACCGCCCCAGCCCCAGACGCCGCCATCGGCGGTGAGGGCGAGGCCGTGCCATGCTCCAGCCGACGCGGCGACGACGCGCTGAATAGCAAAGGCCTCGATCTTCTTCGGTAGCAGCTGGCTCTGCTCGTCGCCGTGGCCCAACCTGCCTTGGCCTCCATAGCCCCAGCTCCAGACACTGCCGTCGGCGGTGAGGGCGAGGCTGTAGCTATATCCAGCCGATACAGCGACGAGACGCGCCGCGCCCAACGAAGGCCTCGATCTTCTTCGGCAGCTGCTGGGTCTGCTCGTCGCCGTGGCCCAGCCGGCCTTGGTGACCAAAGCCCCAGCTCCAAACAGCGCCGTCGGTGGTGAGGGCGAGGCTGTGGTACTCTCCAGCCGACACAGCGACGACACGCTGGCCGGCAAAGGCCTCGACCTTCTTGGGCAGCAGCTGCTGCTGCCTGTCGCTGTGGCCCTACCGGCCATAGGCCCCAAAGCCCCAGCTCCAGACGGCGCCGTCAGCGGTGATGGCGAGGCTGTGCTCGTATCCAGCCGACACGGCGACGACGCGCTGTTCAGCCAAAGCCTCGACCTGCTTGGGCAGCAGCTGGCTCTGCTCGTCGCCGTGGCCTAACTCGCCAGAGGCTCTCCACCGCCCCAGCTCCAGACGGCGCCGTTGGCGGCGAGGGCGAGGCTATGGTTGGCTGTTGTAGACACACTCACAGCGCGTTCTCCCGGCGTCGAGGGGAGGCGGGTCGGCGTGTTGAGCTGCGTCACGCCCTCGCCGTGGCCGAGGAGGCCTGGCGTCCGCAACATGTCATGTCCGCCGAGCCGCACGACGAGAGCCGCCCCTCGCCGTCGATGAAGAGGCTGTGATAACGGCGTGCCGCCGCCCTCGCCGGCGGGTTGGACTCGCAAAGCAGCGCCGAATAGCACAGCCACCGCACGGCGCAGCTCTCTTCCTCTGGCTGCGCCGGCAGCGCGTAGCCGCGCTCACGCGCCCGCAAGCGGATGCCCTCCCGACCGCAAGCGAGGCGTGGAAGAGCAGCGAGACGGCCGCGACGCGAGCGATGTCGAGGGGGTCGCAGCGTGCTCCCCTTGGGTTGTCTGTTTTCTTTCTTTCTTTCTTTAAGTGCTCCTCGCGGTGGGAGACCCTCTCGAGTCGCTCGGAACTGAGCGTTTCCCCACTCTAGTTACCTGCCGTGGGTGCGGCCACTCTGGAGGGCTATGCGACTGCTGAGGCAAACTGTGCCGGCTCTCAAAGGGGCATGGACCCGGAGAAACCCTCGTAAGAGGTGATGGAGTCGGGGATAGCGCGAAGGTGCCTGTTGATTTGCACCAGGCGTCCCTCGATAGCATCGACGTCTCCGCCGTCGATCGCACCGTCGATTTCGGCCAAGGTGTTGGCCAGCGAACCGACAGTCTCCCGCAGTTTTCGGGTGGCAGCCACGACGGCCTTTGCCGAGGCGGTGGCCGCGGCCTCGGAGTGCTCGACGGCGGCGTCCGCGGCGATTCGCGCGCCGGCCGCCTGGCCCCGCGCCTCCTCGACCTCGAGCATCACCTGTTGAGATGTGTCGTGGCGCGTAGGCGCGGGGCACACGGGACGTGGAGAGAGCCGGGGGCGTGGGGCCAAAGGGAAGGGCGGGCGGGCACCTGGTGCAGCTGCGCGTCGGTCTCAGATGTAGCCTCAAACACCGCACCAACGACCTTCTTGCCGACGGCAGTGGTGTGGTTGGCGTTCTTGAGGAAGAGCTCGCGTGTCGTGTTCTCCTGGGGACGCGAGCAGGAGGTTCCGGGGGCGGGGGGAGTGGGGTGGACGGCCGGGGCGCGCGCCGAGTCGGCGAACAAAGCCTCAGTGCGCGCGGCCGAGAGAGCGACGCGCTGGCCGACGCTCATGACGGCACCGTGCGTACGCGAGTGCAGCTGCTTGTTCTCCGAGCGCGTGTCGGAGTGCAACCGCTTGTTCTCCGAGCGCAGCTCGTTCATCTCGCTGCGGAGCTCCGCGAGGCTCGCCAACAGCGTGGCGTGCTCTGGGTTCTGCGGAGGCGTGGTGCGCAGGCGGCCATCCACCTGCCGCGCCTGGAGCTGCACCCGCGGCACGACCGCCTGATAGGGCGCAGGGCGCGCGTGACGGCGGGCAGGCGGGAAGGGGCGGGGGCAGAGGCGGGTGAAGGGGGCAGGCCGGAAGGCGGCAGGCGGGATGGGAAGTCGGGAAGAGGACACGGGAAGGTGGCGGTGCTGCTCACGACCTGTTTCGAGTGGAGTGGCGAGGCGAAGATGTCGCCCGGGCGGACGTTCTTGCTGTCCTCGACTGCCGCCTGCGGGGTGCGGGGTGGCGGGGTGAAGGCGCGGCGAGGAGAAAAGTTGGTGGGGAGAGCTTGGCTGTGTGGAGTGAACGGTCGCGCACCGGCGGTGAGACCGTCGCGGGCGCGCCCGTCTCGTTGTGCGGCGCGGCGTTCTCGTCGCCCTGAGGGCGGGAGCGCAGGTCCATGCCAGTTCCTGGGAGAATGCCGGCAGCTATTTGGGACTATATTCGGCGCATGACGGCCGCACCTTGCTCGGCGCCATCTTCTTCGCCTTGGACTTGGAGGCATCCTCCTCGCGGCACGTGTACTCCGCGGCGAGCTCCGCCGCCTGCTCGAGCGTGAGCGGGGCAATGACGACTGCCTCGATGTCGTGGCTCGCGGCCGACTTGTTGATTGCAGTCTGCAGTATCTCGAGCAGTGCGCCGCGGTCGGCACGCTTTGCCTGGATGAGCGAGCTGAGCGCCGCGCGGACCTCGGGGCACTGCCGCAGCACCGCCTTCTTGTAGGCGATCACTGATGTGTATTGCTTGGTCACGTGGTCGTACGAATGCAGGATGATGATGTCCCTTACGAACCTGCTAAGTTCGGTGAGCTCAGCAAGCGGCGCGTGCTTCGAGGCGAGGACCTGCGCCAGGTATGCGCTGCGCTTGATCTCGTTGGCGGCGAGCACTTTCTCGTTGAGCGTCATGGGCAGGGTGTATTTCAAGCGTTCCTGGCAAGAGAAAAGGGGCGCTGCCCGTCCAGTCCCCTTTTAGTTTCTGCCGAAACTGATAGGAAGCGGCGTCGAGGCGGCCAACGGCCATGCGGCCGAGGGGGCAGGGCTGCGCTGCTGGTTGCGACGTCGAGCGGCGCATCGCATCTCCATCGCGCTCTCTCGCAAGCTGCATGGGATCCCATATGTATGAAGAAAGAGATGCAGGTAGGTGGCAGCCGATCAGTTCCCAATCACGCAATGTCACGCTCTTTCGCGCGAAATACATTTTTATCCCGATGAGGGCGAGGGCGAGCGTCTGCGAGAGCACAGGCCGCCTCCACGCACAGAGGAATGAAATTAAGAGATAGGTTGAGGACCTTGAGGAAGGCACGCCCACGTTTTCTTTTCTGACTGTAACAGACTCGACGACAGATCTCTGCGGGACACCACTAGATCTATCCGTTGTCGTGGTCGGCCGCAACCTCGACAACCTAAACCTCGACATGTGGAGCAGACCCCGCGCGGCCAGCGCGCCGCGCAGCTGGGCCCCGGTGGTCGTCAGGACGGATCTCGACCCCTCCGGCACGAGCACCGCGCTCGTCAGCGACTCGGCAGACTATGCCGAGGAGCGCGTTCGAATGGCGCCCCGCCGAGAGCTCGCTATCAAGCGAACCTGGCAAAGAGAGAAAAGGCGGTCCGACCACTTATAGAAGTTCGGAAACAAGAAAACATCATGCCGCTTTCGCCCAGGCCCCCTTGAGTCGCACATGCCTCAGTCCTCCTGGTCCTGCCACGGGCCGTCCCAATAGCTTCCCCGCACACCCCAACGCGTGTCGGCGCATTCAGATTCTTGCTCGCCGCATTCAGATCATCTTCGGGGCGCTCGCACTGTCGCCTGTCGCAAAATGGGCACTAGCTAGAGCTCACACTAGAGAGGCCGTCATCGCATTCGCATTCCTGGGACCCAGCGCTACGTATGGCGCTACGACGGCGCTGACTTCTGATTGTCGTTGCTGACTCTTCCCTTCTCGACTGTCCGTGCTTGATTGTGCGTCTCTCGTTCTCTCTTGGGTCCCGGGATTGTGTTTTTTTAATAAAGGGGGGCTGAGTGTGGTGGCTGGTGGCGCTCACGTGTCCGTCTCGCGCCCCGCGGTCTGGCCACGGGCCGCGTTCCTACAGCTTCGCCCGCATCCCCCCAACGGCAACGCGTGTCCGCGCATTCAGATTCTTGCTCGCGCATTCAGATTCTTCGGTGCGCTTGGGCTTGCAGCTTGCACACACTTTCGGCGGGGCCGCAAATAAAGGGGCTCTCGAGTACGCGTCGGCTTTATATACTCTATACACACACTCAGCCGGCGGCCCGCTCTATTAGACCGTTACCCCTTGCGCCTGGGGCCTGGACGGCGCTTATTTGCCCACGCGGGCCCGCGGGGTCTACACCAATTCCCTGACTCCGCCAGAAAAAGCTAAAGACCGCGGCGACACGACACACAGTAATACACGAGATCACGATTTTTGGGCGTTGGCTAGGCCCCCCCTAAATACTGGCTAGTCGAGCATCCTCCTGGCCTCTCCGCCGGAGCGGGATCAGTCAGGAGGGGAGGGAGTGCCGCTTGCTGCACTCGGCAAGCCAGAGTCGGTCGTTCCTGCGACGGGGCGAGGCGGAGTCGACCGAGCGCGGGCGGGATCCAAGCGCATGACGGGTTGGGAGGAGGGAGGGACAGAGCACCTTTCGCAGGCGGGACTCCCAGAGGGGCGGCAGCGGAAGGAGCGGGCGCGACGGGAGGCTTCGGGCGCCACGCCGCCGGGCCAAACTGCTCCTGAAACGACGCCTGGCGAGACGCCTCAACGTCCAAAGGCACAGCTGCGCTGCCGCCCGCCGCGTCGCCTGCAGCCGCGCCGCTGCCTGCAGCTGCGCTGCCGCCGCCCGCCGCCTCGCCGGCCGGTGGCGCGGCCGGGGCTGGCTCCTCGCGAGGGGCTGGCTGGGGCGGCACCTCCACGCGCGGCTCCACAGCGGGCGGCGGCGGCTCCGTCTCTCGCGACGCAGCGCGAGAGCTGTCCGGAGGCAGAGATGCTGGAGGCGGCGCTGCTGGAGGCGGCGCTGCTGCAGGCGGCGCTGCTGGAGGCGGGGCTGCTGGAGGCGGCTCTGCTGGAGGCGGCGCTGCTGCAGGCGGCGGCGGCGCTGCTGGAGGCGGGGCTGCTGCAGGCGGGGCTGCTGCAGGCGGCGCTGCTGGAGGCGGGGCTGCTGCAGGCGGCGGCTCCGCCTCGCTGGATGCGCCGCGCGAGAGGAGCGAGGCGATGCGCCCCCCGGATCCGGCCGGCTCGGCTGGGAGAGGGACCGCGGGGGGCGGGGCGATGGCGGGCGGCGGCGCGTAGGGCGGCGGTGCGAAGCCCTTTGGAGAGGCGGGCAGAGGGAGGAGGGCAGAGGCGGCGGGCGGAGGCGGGACGGGAGGAGGGGCGGGCGGGACGGGAGGCGGGTCCACGGCAGCGGGGGCGGGAGCGTCCGAGGGGGGAGGGTGCGGCGGCGGCGGCTGGCCGGGCA